GGACTTCAACTCCCAGAATTCCCCAGCCAGCATTCGCTGGCTGGGGAATTCTGGGACTTGAAGTCCAGTCATCTTCAAGTTGCCAAGGTTGAGAAACACTGGCCTAGAAGCAACTCTAGGCATTCTGAAACTCAGTGAACAAAGGTGAGAATCCCCAACCGAAACAAGAAGACTACACCAAAGTTAAAATTAAAATAGGAAGCAAACAACTTCTTTAAAAATGACCCCATATGTGAACAAAAAGGAGAAAATGAATAATGAATGAATATATACTGGACCCAATTCTTACTAATAGAAAAGAAGTGATAGAGTGAGTTGAAGTTGTTGGAACTTTGGGCAAGAGTGATCACATTATATTGGAATTCAATATAATGTAAACATAAGCAGTGGAACATATTCCACCCATTGTCTTAAACTTTAAAAGAGCTGATTTTAACAAACTGAGAAGGAGTCTAAGAAAAATTCTATGGATGAAAATCCTAAAGGAGAAAACAACTCAAGAAGTGTGGGAAACTCTGAAAAGTATGACCATAAATGCCCAGTCCAGCACAATACCACTGAAAAAGAAGAACAAGAAATCCAAGAAAAAAACAGCCTTGTTGCACAAAGATCTCTCTAAAAAACTGAAAGACAAAAAGGAGAAGTGCAAAAAATATATATGGAAAGAGACAAATTCTGCCTGAATGCATATGGGGCAAATGTTTCTGTAATCAGTACTCTTTGTGATTGGTCATGTTTACAACTCCGTTATTATTTTTGTTGTTGTTTTGTCTTTTGTTTTTTGTTATTATTATTATTATACTTTATTCATTAAACATGAAACTCAGTCAACTGAACATTCAAAAATGCATCACAAATACTATTAACTGGTACTAATGGTTGATACGGGTGGCTGCCAGCGTTCTAGGTATCAACCGAGTACCTTCTTAAAATATACGATGTTCCGAGTAGCTCAGTTGTTTGCAGTTGTTGTTATTATTATTAAGTGGTTAATCTTGGGTGAGATTCACAGCCTTTGGGGCTGGTTGGTAGCTCAACAGCCCGAGTCCTAACCAAGGACCTAGGAACTGTTAAGGTAAATTGTTCCAAGTAGGGTGGTTTTTTGTAGAATCAGAATGTTCAAGTCCGATAAATTTAGAATTGTTAGAAATTATTATTATTATACAATTGTATCACAGCGGCCAGTTGTTTCGCCAGATTTGGCATTGGTTACTAGTCGGGCCCCACCCAGGGGCCTAGGACGTCGTAACGTATTTTTGTAATATGCGTGCATTATTATTATTATTATTATTATTATTATTGTATCACAGCGGCCAGTTGTTTTGCCAGATTTGGCATTGGTTACTAGTCGGGCCCCACCCAGGGGCCTAGGACGTCGTAACGTATTTTTGTAATATGC